AGAGAGAGAAAGAAAGGAAGAAGCATCGTCGAACTTCCTGAAACAGCGAGTTTCGAGTTGTTCGCGGGGACAACGAAACCGGGTGTGTCTAGTATGTTGCGGTGAATCGAAGAGGTATCGGAACAGGTGCGTCAGACCACACGTTTCGTTTTTCGCGGAAGACCGTTGCAAGGATAGCCATTTTTGTCTTTTCTTTTCTTTTCTTTCATACAGGATAGCCAAGTTCAAACTTCGAAACGAGACAGCTCGTAACATCGCGTTACGTTCAAGATATATCTTGGTGTTTTTAACGAAATTCGATTAAGCTTCGATTCTTCGATAAGAACTACTGCACCAGTGAACAGTGCAGCCAGAGAAATTGTGCTGTAACGGACTGGTGTCTGTATCGATAAACGTTGATTCTTCGCGTGAAATCGCTACTGGATTGTGTTCGGTATCGTCGGTATCACGTATATCTGCACAAGTGCACCGGCGCGTTGCCATTGGCCTGACGCGAGTCAATACTTTATCGACACAAAAGGGAAACGATCGTTCGCGACCCGTTGTTCAACTCCGTCAGCGATCTGATCGTTCCTTGTTAATTCATACGCCGCGTCGATGTGACGCTGCACTTCGGGTGCATGGAGAACATCCCCCCCTCCCTCCGAAATCGTTAATTATAATCATTTCCACGCGATTCCACGGTATTTTGTGCATACCGATTCGCGCGCGTTCCTAAGCCGCGCTCGTGTTCGCGCGTCGCTAAGAATAGCATCTCGCGGCTCGGCGAGACTCCTCTCGTCGCCGTTTCAAACGCGCCTTGAACGAATACGCGCGCGTGTCATCGTCTATCTGATCACGGGCCGCTCGATAACGTAAATCTTCGTTAGAGGTACCTAGTCGCGGTGCTTATTCCCCTTATCAGATTCGTTGTTACACAACGGATGCTTCGAAGAGGTGTATATTTCGGTCACCTGGTAGAAAAGATCCCCGCGCTCAGGCTCATCGCCGCGCACGCTCGACATTGCAAACCGTTCCCTTCCCCTTCGCTTTCGATGATTTCTCCCACCATCGGTGCCATTGGACGAGCCAGCTTGCGACGACGGGGGGAGGCAGGGGTGGCGAGGAGGGGAGGTCGATTCTCCCGTTTCGGCCATGCACTAGAACTTGACTCCTAAGCTCGACAGTGACGGCGCAAGCTCTATCTCTCTGCGTCTCTCTGTCCCTTTTCTTCTCCTTTCTGCTCTTATATTCGCATACGTTGCTTCTCTCTCTCTCTCTCTCTCTCTCTCGTTGTCTCCTCGCTTCTCCTACCACGTCCGCGTCCGAACTCGTTCCGGAGGCTTCGGAGCGATAAATTTACACTTCTATCGTCGAGCATTTTTTTAATCGATTATGTATAGCCGTATTTATTTATCGAATGAGCCACGATTTTCCTCGCATTCGTGCTACGTGGAGTAGAACAACCGATAGAGAACAAAGAGAGAGAGAGAGAGAGAGAGAGAGTTTTCGGGGTTCGTTTTCTATCGTTCTGTTCTTCACGAACGAAAGGATGACCTACTTTTTCGCGATCGTCGACAGAGTGACGGTGGATGATATACGCATAATAAACCTCGATTACGATGATAGATTCGATCGACGATCGCGCGGATCACACTCGGCCGTCTCCATGTCGAGTGTGCTCGACATTTTCCTGCGAAGAAAAGTGCAAGTAGAGACGGAACGTTACTTGTCAGGCGAGACTCGTTCACGCTCCTTCCTTCTCCTCCCCTCTCCGCGGCCCGCAGCCACCTTTTCGTCCTCCATCGCCTTCTCCTCGTCCTTCACCTCCTCTTGATCCTCTATTGTCCCTCTCTCGCCTCTCTTCTCGGCTCTCCCTCCTCCAACCTTCCTTCGTCCTCCCTGTCCCCACCTCTCCCTCCTTCCCTCCCTGCCGGCTGCACGCTTACATGCAACGAGCCAGACCGGCCGGCTGGCACTTCAGTTGCCTTTAGCGCCGTGCATCTCCGAGTCAGTCAGTCAGTCAGTCAGTTAGTCAGTCAGTCAGTCAGTCATTGAGTCAGTCAGTCGGTGAGCCGGGTCGACGATACGCGCGCGACGACCGAGGTATTCGTCTCTCTCTCTTTCTTCTCCAACTTTTACTTTCTCTCCTTCTCTCTCTCCGTCCCCCCTTTCTTTGTCGTTCGCATCTTCTTGCGAAATTTATTCGCGTTTCGAGTGCTCGCTGGCCGCGTGCTCTCTTCCCTATTCGCGGCACGTGTGTGCCGTACGGTTTCCTGTGGACGCGGTGGAGAACGCGAGCTGATCGCCTCTGCCCTGCCCGTTTCTAGGAAGTTCCAAGCGTGTGTCGCGACACGTGTGCGTTGGAGAAATTTCCTCCTCCGTGTCACCTGCACGGAGGTGCAACAACCGTGCTCGTTCTCTCGTACGGGATCAGTCGTGTTCAGGGTATACTATACACACTATACACACTAACTGTTTGTGGAACAACGTGAGCGAGGCAACGGCGCAACAGTGGCCGAATTGGGAAGAACGGACATCGTCGTCCTCGGTGTCCTCACTTTTCTCGTTGTTAGTGAGAACGATTGTACGTCCACATGCGAGCCAGTGCAAGCAGTGAAGTTCAATGTCGGAAATTCGCGTGTTTGCTTTCTTCTTCGTTACGCGCTAGGAATTTTCACGTAAATCGCTCCGTTTTTCTATGGTTGAAGTACGTGCGTGACAGGCCGATTATCTCTCAACAGGTCCTTTTCTGCAATGATCAATAATAATGATGCACATACGTTTCTCAAAGTTAAATTCCTCGAACGTTTTACCTTTTTCCTTTTTTCTTTATTCTTCAACAACAACGACGACGAATCTCCTTTTCTTCTAAAGTGATCAATGATGGCAACAACGACGATACGAAAGAGTTCAAAATTTAACACTGTTTACTTCACTTTACTTTTACGCGGGTAAAGTTGTTTCCTTCATTTAGGTA